AGGTGCAAGGGTGAGTAATAGTGATAATTTGCCTATATGTAGATGATCTCATCTTCACATGTAATGATCCTCAAATGTTTGAAGAATTCAAGAAGATGATGGTTCGTGAATTCGAAATGACTGACATTGGTTTTGCCAAGGAAGTTTTGAGGAAGTTTAAGATGGAGAACTGTAATCCTGTGAGCACACCAGCTGAGTGTGGACTGAAATTATCCAGGGATTGCAAAGGAGAGAAGGTTAACTCGACTGAGTTTAGAAGCCTTGTGGGAAGTCTTAGCTACCTGACTTGTACCAGAGTAGATATTCACTATGCAGGTGCATTAGTTAGTAGAAACATGGAGACGCAAACTATGTCGCAACGGAATGGTGCCAAGAGGATCTTGCGCTACATTAAAGGTACAATCAATCATGGTCTATTTTATACTAAGTCATATTATTTCCAATTGGTTGGATAGTTGGATAGTGATTGGGCAGGAGACATGGATGATCGCAAGAGCACTACACGATTTGTAATTTTTATGGGATACAACTTTCACATGGAGTTCAAAGAAGCAAGCTATCATGACTATCTACTTGTGAAGCTGAGTATGTTGCTGCTACATCGTGTGTGTGTGTGTCATGCGATATGGATCAGAAAGTTGTTGAAGGTATTGAACATGACACAAGAAGAGTCTACTGAAATTTTTGTGGATAACAAGTCTGCCCTGGCATTAGCAAAGAATCCGGTGTTTCATGATCGCAGTAAGCACATTGATACAAGATATCATTTGTTGAGAGAATGTGTGGAGTAGAAAGAAGTAATGTTGCAGTATGTGAAGACTAAAGACTAGATTGTTGATATATTCGCAAAGCCATTGAAGCAAGACGTGTTCGTCAAGATGAGGACGCTACTCGGAGTTACGAATAATTAAACATTAAGGGGAGTGTTGAAATAAATAAATTTTAAATAAAAATTAAAGCTAAAAGTATCAAAACATCCTAGAGATATATGTGAGTATCTGTATGGAAGGATGTAGAAGTTAAATTAATATGGGCAGTTAGGTTAGTTAAGTAGATTAAAAAAAATAAAAAATTTGAGAGCTGTAAACTTAAGGCGGTGGAGATGGATATTTTGTAATTTGAAGAGTTATAAATACCCTATTTTGTAGCCATATGGAAGCAAGTGAGAAAAACACGAAATTAAATAAGGAAGAGAGCAGCTTCCTTCAATAAAGCGCGTGTCCCAAAATTCGCTCCCATCCCAATTCGCTTGCCTTAAAGCTCTATACGAGCAACTCATCATTTACAAAAGCTTCCAAATTCCATTCCTTGCCCAAATGTTCCCACCAACAGATACACCTCCCGCCAAAACTCTCTGCCGAGGGGCAAAGCCCTCTAATTTCCTTTTTCAACTAGCACCAGGCCCCGACCTTTTGGCCAGGAGAGCATATAATATATAATTATATATAATGGTGGATATGATAGATGTTCGGGTATGCATGTATGCTTGTGTATGCTTAATGTGATTAGAATATAATAAAAGAGGAAAAATATGATTTAAGAAATAAAATAATTATTCAATTAAAATATGAATATATATATATATATGTATATATATATATATACATATATATATATGTATATATATATATATATATAATATTATCTTTCAATATTTAAGTAGATCATAGAATTGAATATTAGAGAGGCTTTCCATAATACCTACGTAGTTGCACTTAAGAATGAAAGAAAATTACTGATCTTTAATAGAATTCAATATGTTAATTGAAGTGATTTTCCGAGTAGAGAGCATCCTTGTTGATAACAACGCGAGTAATAGATATGAAGTTGCAAAATTTTAAATATATAAGTCATGATGGGAAGTTGTCACTAATATGCAGTTGGACAATGTATTGTGTACGGGCAGTGGCGGATCCAGGAATTCTACGTAGGGGTGTCCTCTATAAAAAATTAAATTAAATTAAATATTAGAATTAAATTAAATAATTATTAAATATGAAAATATTTAACTAATAAAAGTTTCATTAAAAGTTCAGATGTGTTTCATCAAATGATAAAATGCATTCGGTGTTTATACTGCTCAACAAATATCGCTCGACATATCTTACTAGACAAGGATATCCCGTAATTGAGTTTAATCGTTAGGTTTTGAAAATAATTTGAGATAAGAATAACATTTTACTATTATATTTGGATCTAAAACACAATAATAAATGGGTTGTAGCGTAATTGAAAATATATTAACTAATAGTGGCAGTGTCCAAATTCAAATCACATAAACTACTACTTAAATATTATTTAGGTTATACCAATACGCAAACTACTACGGGAGATTGGATAATCATTTTCTCATATTTTAAAGGTGTCCCACTACCACTTAAACATTTTTTTTTCTCATACGCAAATTACTGTCATAGGTTGAATAATTGTGTTTCCAGATTTTAGGGGTGTCCCAGGACACCCCTAACCATTCATGTATCCGCCACTGTGTACGGGTGACTGACCAAATGACTCTAAGATGTATATATGGTCAGCAACAATATAGTAATCTCCCTGCAATAAATATATATTGTTGATGAATAAATAAAAATAACGAAAATGTATGTATATAATATTACATTGAAGATAGCTCCATGCAACGAATGAAGATTTGCAAACATGCTACCAAGGTTGAATGAGAAAGTCGAAGTGAAGTTAGCCAGTTAGGTCTACAATTGAACAAATATTGGCACATTGTTTGGCAACTTCATAAAAGTCCTTTTTAATAGTGTTTTTTCATTCCCTTAGTCTGGCATAAGCAGTGACATATAAACAAGTTATTTAAGTTATATCTATATATATGTACACACTACAGAATTTAGCAAGGGTGCAATAAAGGATAATTCAAATTTAAATAATTTGGTTGTATATAGTGAACTTCAGTGACCAAATATGTGACAACAATGCCTAAATATATATTTTATAATATGATATAGAAATTTCTTATTTTAAAGTGCATGCATGGAAAAGTCAGACAAAGGAGTTAATCATCTTTGATTAAGGCGGTCCCTTTCAAAAACTATTTGGTGTTTAGACGGTGCTTTAGGTTGAAAAGGGCTCTCATCAACCCCGCGGGAGAAAATACAATCGCATAAACCTGTTAAGCATTGGAAAAAATAATGAACATAAAAGTAAGTGTAAAAAATTAACAAATTCTGCCAGTTGTGAAAGTTGTGCAAGTACATCAACCTCTTGAGAGCCAAACATGACTACCAATTGTTACAGAGATGAGGGCCGATCCTAGATTGATTCTGAACCATAGAACCCAACCAACACGGTTGTACTGTTGTAGGCATAGGAAGAGGAAAGAAATGAAGGACCCATTAATAACAATCGCAAACCACTTTCAAAGATGCCAACTGCATTAAAAAATCTGTTCTTCATGGAACACAACCAAACAATTATGGTAGTTAATAACTTAATCGCAATCAGTACCTCCTAAATTTGAAGATGCATTCAGCTTTAAAAACTCAATGCTTCTTTGAATGCAACCAAACAATTTTTGACAGATATTACGAGTGAAATAATACAGGTTTTTAGATAAAAAAAAAGTTCAACATCACAATAGCTAGAGAGTTGCAAATAATGGTGTTTACAGAGTGGCTCCGAGTGACAACTAGACTTGCACACTCCTTACTTCTGCTATAAGCTATAAAAAAAATAGGGGAGGGAGCTTGTGACTAAGTTTTCATTCATGGGTTACCTGAAACAGAGATGCAACTATGACTAATAAGAATAAGAAAGAAATTACCAAATAAAGCAATTTAGCGTAAATATAAGTATTCGAAATACAACCATTAAATTGATTATTGCGGATAAAAGCATATATAAATTTTTGTGCCCCCCTATCGCATTTGCTGATATCATGTTCTTTTATTGGCTTCAGTTCATTTATACAAAACGGTGTATAAAAATAAGGCTAATCATTTAAAATCTTCAACTAAAGAAAAACCTTCAACTTTACCAAATACATATACATCGGTTAACTTGACAGATAAATACCTTAGAATATAGTAGTCACTTGTTTAACTTTACCAAATACATATACCCAGGTTACCTTCAGAACTTACCCATCCGTCTCTCTATGTTCAGATGCGCCTTCTCATGCAAACCTCGAATAAACTCTGCTTTCTTCGCACCATCTAAATTCACACGCTCATTGACAGGTAAAGGAGACAAATAAAATGGGGTTAAAGGATTAAACCCATACACAATCTCAAACGTCGAAAACATAGTGGTAGAATGAATAGCCCTATTATATGCAAAATCTACATGAGGTAAGCATTCTTCCCAAGACTTGATAATACTCTTAATGACAGCCCTAAGCATTTGAGACAAAGTTCTATTAACTACTTCAGTTTGGCCATCCGTCTGAGGGTGGCAAGTAGTAGAAAACAACAACTTAGTTCCAAGCTTACTCCTTAGTGTTTTCCAAAAGTAACTCAAGAACTTGACATAATGATCAGAGACTATAGTGCGAGGCATACCATGCAACCTAACAATTTCTTGAAAGAACAGTTCAACTACATTAGATGCATCATCAGTTTTGTGACATGGGATAAAGTGTGCCATCTTTGAAAAAAAGTTAACCACAACAAACACTGAATCTCTACAACTTCTAGTCATAGGCAATCCAAGAACGAAATCCATAGAAATATCATTCCAAGAAATAGTAAGAATAGGGAGAGGAAGGTATAACATGTTTGGCTAAACTTTTGACTTGGCTTGGCGGCACTTAAGACATAGTGCACACACCTTCTCCACGTCGCTTCTCATGTGGTGACAGTAAAAATGTTCCTGGAGGCAATCCAAAGTCTTGGATACCCCAAAATGAGCCATGAGGCCGCCACCGTGAGCTTCTCTAACCAGCAACTCACGAATCGAAGCATGAGGCACACACAGTTGTCCAGCCTCAACAGCTGCCTTTGAGCTCGAGAATCGCCTTCCTGAGGTAAGCTTTTGATGCATCTCAATTTTCATTGCAAGATGGACCACTTACTCAAGATCAACAAAAGAACGAATCTCAACTTTGTGGTGAATTTCACGATTCAGACCATGGAGGAAACGTGAAATAGTCGCTTCCTTGTCTTCTCGTACATCAGCCCGCATTAAGAGTAGTTCGAGTTCTCGGAAGTATTCCTCGACATTCCTTATGCCCTGACAATTCCTGCAACGCGTCATGGAGCTCGCGGTGATAATAGCTCGGAACAAAACGTTCCCTCATCAGACCACGCAACTCGTCCCAAGTCGTCACTGGAAGTTGCTGATTCTGTCGGCGACGAAGTTGCAATCGCTCCAACCATTGCGCAGCATAGTCTAAAAACTCATAGGTGATCATGGCTAGCTTTTGTTGCTCAGTGAATTGACTGCACTGGAAGAACAGTATGATCTTCCATTCCCAATCGAGGTACGTCGACGCGTTTAAGGTTCTCTAAAAGGATGGGATTACGACGCACAGGCACAGGATTGTGTACCACCACCTGTTGTTCTAACTCTTCGATTTGAGCTAGAAGCTCTTGGTTTCCTTGCCCCTGTTCGGCCTCTGCCTCCCTATCGCGAGGAGCTGCTGCTGCTCGCTCCAGTTCTGGTAGCGCCTGAGAGAGAGTGTCAATTCTGTCAAATTGCGTCTTGAAAATTGCTCCAATTTGCCCGGTGATGGTCTGTAAAAACTCTGTTGTATTAAACTGTCCCGACATTGCGATTACACCCTCCGGATTTGGCTTGTCGGAATTGACTCCTTCCTCTGGATTCCGTCGAACGGCATGGTCTTGATCAACTGGACCTTTGGACCTCGTCCAACACGTCGTTCCCGCAATGTCTCCTTCCGTCTTTCCATTGAGGTGAACTGGGGTCTGATTACCACTTAATAACACCCAGCTAGGTGTTGAGTTCACAATTCGAGCTTGAAAAGCTAAGTCTGGCAACTCGTCGACGAAACCAAGCCGCCAACATCAATTGAAACGAAAAGGGATGGAACTCTTGTGCAATCCTACACCGGGAGGAAGTCTGAAAGAGTTTATGTCGAAGCTCGCCCACGATCAAGGCGATATTGATCGATACAAGAGCAGGTTCGAGCTTGGTTTTGTCAGCCAAAGCTCTTCAACCAAAAAATAGCGAAAAGACTTCGTTTAAAGTTTTTAATTTTCCAGCAGGTTCGAGCTAGCTGAAACAGCTTCCACACTTAACCAAAATCCCAGGTCTTTCCAGCAAGTTGAATTGGGTTCTTGACTCAACAATTTCCACTTGTAGATTGATCCGTTTGGGATCATATCAAGAAAGCTATTGGCCTCTTCTCCTGCATCAAAACAACACTAATGCCTACACTAGAGGCATCACACTTGATCTCGAATGGTTTAGAAAAGTCAGGCAACATCATCAAAGAATATTGGCTTAGTTTATATTTCAAATGCTCGAAAGCTTTTTGTTGAGATTCACCCCATTGGAAGGTCATGTTCTTCTTGATGTCGTGCTTAAAGGAGCAGCAATGGTGCTGAAATCCTTTACAAAATCGTCTCTAAAACCCTGCAAGACCATGAAAACTTCGAATCTCATTCATATTAGTTGGGGTGGGTCGTGCTTTTAATGCCTGAACCTTTTCCTCATCCACCTTGAACCCCTTCGAACTCACCACAAACCCCAGAAACACAAGTTTATCAGTGCAAAACAGGCATTTCTTGAGATTACCATACAGTTGCTCTTTCGAAGAGTCTCCAAGACAGCTCTAAGGTGATTCACATGGTCATCTAAGTTCTTAGAATAAATCAAAATATCATCAAAGTTAGACCACCAGGAATTTTCCAATAAAAGTTCTCAAAATATGGTACTTTAAACCACCAATACTTTATTGTACAGCTCTCAAAATAAACGTCATATTCTCTTATGATACTTTAATTTGTACCTTTAACGTTATTTTACAGCTTCAAGTTGTACTTTAAACCACCAATACTTTATGATATAAGCCGACACTCTAAATCGTGGACTTAAACAATCAGAAACACATCAAAGATCGATTAAAGCACAATGATCACAAAGTGGATAAAAACTGAAACCAAATCCACGAGTCGGGAAGAGGGTAAGTGATAACTATGTATTTGCACATGTTTGCACCCTTAGTTCTTATCCGTTTGCGGCTAGTAGTCGTGTATTTTTGGCCCGTTTTTTTTGGGTTGTGCTACTTTGTCATATTTCAGGTCCCAGACGTCGAAGGAAAGGCTAAGCACGAGATTCGAGGCGTTTGGAGATCATTCGGTCGAGCTAGGGGCAAAACACGGGCAGGAGGCCTAAAGAACATGGCCGTGTACACAAACAGGCATGCCAGTGTTTTTATGTGCGAGAGCTGAACTGATGGAAAAGCAAAACACGGGCTGTCCTAAAGAAAAACACGGTCGTGTCCATATTTAGGCACGAGCGTGTTTTGGTCGACGCGAGCGTGTTTTTAACACGTGGCAAGGGCACAGACGGGCAAAAGCAAAACACGGTCGTGCCCTCGACCGTGTTTTGCTCAGAATCGGGTTTTTGAGGCAGATTCGAGCCAAAGGAGAGAGAATCGACTTTTTGGAGCAAAAACAGAGTTTTAGAGAGAGAAATTGCGAAGAACAAACCCTTGAAGCCCAAATTGCATCCCCAGGAGTGAAGATTGACATCCTAGAGCAGATTTTCCTCACCTTTATGAGTATGACTACTCTGATTTCTGTTTTCCTCTCTCTCTCTCTCTCTCTATGGATTAGAACTTTCTCTCACTTGGGTATGAAGAACCCTAGTTCCATGTGTTAGAAATCTTGATTGTAATTACGTTTGGATTGTGATATTTTTTTATTATAATCGATTGAAGTGTTTTGATTGAGTCAATTGAAGTCTGATCATCTTTTCAGGATCTTCCGCTGCACGTATTTCCTGAGAAACAAAGTCATAGGCGCGTAGGTTCAGAGCCAGACCGACTACTCCAAGAGCACTCATCCATAAACCGGTTACTGGTACAAATAACATAAAGAAATGTAACCAACGTTTATTGGAAAAAGCAACCCCAAAGATTTGGGACCAAAAGCGGTTAGCGGTGACCATTGAATACGTTTCTTCGGCTTGGGTTGGGTTAAACGCACGGAATGTATTTGCACCATCACCATCTTCAAATAAAGTATTTTCTACAGTAGCACCATGAATAGCGCATAACAGAGCCGCGCCCAATACACCGGCAACTCCCATCATATGAAACGGATTCAGTGTCCAATTATGAAACCCTTGGAAAAAGAGGATGAATCGAAATATAGCTGCTACACCAAAACTGGGTGCAAAAAACCAACCAGACTGACCTAGTGGATAAATTAGAAATACAGAAACAAAAACAGCAATTGGGCCGGAGAATGCGATTGCATTATAAGGGCGTAATTGCACAGAGCGAGCAAGCTCAAATTGACGTAATTTGAGCTCAAAAGCAGACTTATTCGCGGGTCGATTCATGTTGACGAACTTGTGATGAGACAAGCTTCGTCGTACGAGCTCCAAGCCCAGTCCCTGTTCTCCGGCAACGGCAAGGCAGGGCAGGAGAGAGGGGCTATTGGATGGCACTTTTGGGGGCGATCCGACCCAACGCAAGAAGCCCGCCGCGTTCCCTCCGACCAAGGGAAGATTTTCCCTCGATCAATTGGAGACAACTTTGCTTGTTCTGTAGGATCACAATCATACTCCAACCCCCTTATTTGAACTCAAACACGAGCAAGATGCGCGTGAAATGGTTGGGGAGTCTGGTGAAGAATCGACCGAAGCGGCCGATGAAAACTCATCGAGTTTGATCCCTGGAAGTTGTTGGAAGCTTCAATTGTGGCCGCCAATTGTTGGGGAAGAAACGCCCAAATCCAATTCTTATAGCCTGGGTTCTCCGAATATCAACAAGGCGGACGGCGTGAAAGGGGCAATTGTCAATTCGACGACGACATGCTTGAGACGATGTTTGGGGCCGGACTAAATGTTCAATTGGGAGTCTACTAAAGCGCTTGAAGGAGGAGAATTAGAGTATCGCCGCCAGAATCCAGAATTTCCCAATTCCAGCTTGAAGAACATGAACATAATTTTTCAAAAGCTGCCGACTTCGCAGCTAACTTTCGATCCCCTTTGGCGTCAGTGTTGCGCCCAATTTGAGCAGAGGAAGGAACGAGCTTTGAGGGCAAATCTTTTTGAAGAGGGGGGAGGGGCTTGATATGATCTCAAACGGATTAATCTACAAGTGGAAATTATTGAGTCAAGAACCCAATTCAATTTGCTGGAAAGACCTGGGATTTTGGTTACATGTGGAGGCTGTTTCGGGTAGCTCTCTTTGCAAGTATAGTTCTCTCGATTGGATGGATGAAAATGGGGGTTGGAGGTTTTATTTTGTAGATTGTAACTCCCTTTACAACTTGGAGTGTCTGGGAGCTCGAGGCGATGCTGGGAAGAGTGGTTTTCGAGCTCATCAAAAGTCTATGACAACACAGGCAAACTGCCAGTTTTTGCCTAAGGCATGGACAGTTTCGGGAAGGCCACTTTGAAGCTCAAGCACGACGAATGGGTGGGAATCTGGCTTCAATGTTTAGCCCACATGAAACTTCGCATTTTCTAGTACGGAAACAAGGTATTGGGTGATCCAATCGGAATCGGAAGGATGGAGAACGAGGGTCTCAAAGTTGGCATCAACACCAGTTGTTACTTGCACTTTAAGTCTCCGCATTGTGTTAGGATTATGATTGTTTTGGTTTACCTAGTTTGTTTCGGTTTCTTTTGCTTTCCAGACTATTTGTAATCTCTATTTAAGGCCTACCAATGTATTTTAAAGTAGTTTTGAGTTGAATACAGAAAATTAAAAACCCTAAACTAAGTCTTGTCGCTAGTTTTTGGTTGAAGAGCTTTGGCCGAGAAAACCAAGCTGGAACCTGCTCTAGTATCGATCAATACCGCCTTGATCGTGGGAGAACTTCGAAATAAAATCTTTGAGCCTGCCTCCAGGTGTAGGATTCCACAAGAGTTCTATCCCTTTTCGTTTTCAATTGTCTTTGGCGGCTTGGTTTCGTCGACGAGTTGCTAGACTTGGCTTTTCAAGCTCAAATTGTGAACTCAACACGTACCTGGGTGCTATCAAGTGGTAATCAGAGCCCGGTTCACCTCAGTGTAAAGACGGAAGGCGACATTGCGGGAACGACGCGTTGGATGAGGTCTAAAGGTCCGGTTGATCAAGACCCTCCCGGTCGACGGAATCCAAAGGAAGGAGTCAATTCTGATGAGCCAAATCCGGAGGGTGTAATCGCAATGTCGGGACAGTTTAATACAACGGAGTTTTTACAGACCATCACCACGCAAATTGGAGCAATTTTCCAGACACAATTTGATAGAATGGAGCGCCAGATGGAACAGCAGGGACAACGAATTGACATTCTGTCTCAGGCGAGAGAAGAACTGGGGCGAGCAGCAGCAGCTCCTCGCGGCAAGGTAAGGAGAATGTGGTTGTCGATGCCCTTTCTGGTAGGTATGCTTTGATTTCTTCTCTTGATGCTCAACCAAAAGTAATTACAACTGTGACCTAACTAAGGAGCTAGGGGGACTCATTCCCGAGTGACTCTTCCTTTGCTTTAGAAAACCGAACCATTTCCTGCTTTTACTTAAATCAACAATCAATCAACTTAGTTTGCTAGATAACATATATACACGGAGTAAGCAGTAGATCTAGACCCCGGGTTGACAATTAGAGCTTGCCTGTTACTGCATTTTCGGATTGCGATTACGCTTGGTTGCAATTTGGTGTTGTGTTTTGGCGTGTCAAGTTTTTGGCGCCGTTACCAGGGACCTCTAGGTTATTGTAGAAAAGTGAAAGTATGTTACTTTAGCCTTTTTCTTTTCTTTTCTTTTCCACCCTTGCTTTTCACTTGGGTGTTATGTTTTTGTTGGTGCAGATCTGAAACATGGATCCTCATGGCTTCTCCAACCATTGTGGGTATCAACCACCATCTGTGTAGTATTACCCCGAGACTTCCTGGAGCAATCAAGGAGGAGAAGACTATGGATTCGGATGTCAGTTCCAACCCCCTACTACGGAGAACAACCAGACCCTTGGGAACCACAAGAACAATATCCTTTTCAAGAAGAGTTCCTGCCACAACCAGAGGGGCCATCTGAGTTGGAGTTAGCCATGGAGGCCTTCACGGGCCACTCTGTAGACCCATGCTACACTTCACTAGAAGTTCCGAACAAACAATTAAGGCTTCTCGTGGAGCAGTTTGCTCGAGACACTGAGAGATCATGCTCCAAGATGGATCTTCAAATCCAAGCCCTTTCCCCTTCCGATACCTCATTTCTCCATGAAATGGAGGAGACTGTCCAGTGCTCAGCGAATCAAATAGAGTGGTTGGAGAAAGTTTGCTCACATCCTGCTCAAGATTACCTTTCTGCTACCACGCTAGAAGAGGTGGAGGATGACAAAGGCTACGGGGACGTTGAGGAGCATACAGAAGTTATTATAGAGAACTCCCATGATAACCATGATCAGGAAAGTCCTCTGGTTGCATATCACACCTTTCCTCATTTGTGCTCTAACATGCTGGGCCCGAGCGAGGAGATGCAAGATGATCTCATTGAAGAAATTACATGGCGACTTGCTCTCGAATCTGTTCTAGAAAAAGAAGAGCGAGAAAGGGTGAGGGAAGAAGTTGTGGAGGATGAGGAAGAAAGCAAAGAAGAGGAAGTTCTTGATCTTTTCCAAGGGGAGAGACCACAATCTGGTGAAGGAAGGGGGGTTCAAGAAACAAGTGGTGTCCAGGCTGAGGATGAAGTTGAGGTGGAAGAGGCATGCACCGACCATGAGTTACATGTGACATCTCCACCAAACTTTGAGGAGCTGCTTGGTAAGGACCCATTTGCAGTGTCTCTTTGCCAGACCAAGACCACATCAACATCGATCTCTCTTGGTGGATGCGATGGTGGTCAATCGAATATATCTTATCTGGTTTGGGGCAATGAGACAAGAGCAGACGCGAATGAGAGGTCTCGAGAGTGGAGATTTTATCTTCCTCAAGGCCACGAGCCATCTTCATCACCTGTCACATCACCTGTTTGTGACTTGAGACTCCACATCATCAACGAGAACCTCAACTTCAAGGAGGTTCTGGGGTGGACCGAAACTTAGGAGCCACCGTCCAGCTAAAGACGGTAAAGAAGCGCTTGTGGGGAGGCAACCCCACCAAGGTTTGTTTTTCTTTCGTTCGTTTTTCGGTTTGTCCACTTGGAACTCCGGTTCTTTCACCCAGTGTGTTTCTTTTGATGACTTTAGCTCTGTGCCTTGGACTGGTCCCCCTTCCAGTCCCCTTCTATTGACTGGTCTACCTTCTAGTCCCCATTCCTGATCTCATTTCACGGTAACATCGTTCCCCTTCCCTCTGCTCCATTGAGGACACTGTCGCATTTAAGTGTGTGGGGGAGGGGGGGTTCTTTGTATTCATTGGAATGTACATATATGTGTGCTTGGAGCCTAGTCTGCTGTCCAAATCTCAAGATTTGAAGGCTCCAAGTATTGTTGTTTGCTTGATGTTTGATCGTATTGGCACTGTGGATTTGATTGGTGAATCAAATGGCTTTCGAATTAATGCATGAAAACTTGATTGTAACTAGGGCAGCCTATAATGATGACTAAGACGTGCAGTAGAACTGTGTAGGGGTTCAGTTTTTCAACTGTTTGCTTACCAACTGTGACTTGGATTGATCACTTGCTCTTGAAAGTCATTTATGCATCTAGTTCAGGGAATCAGAATGAGAGATAGAGCATATAGGTAGCCATGTGAGATTTGAGCCTGCTCGTTTCTTTCTTATGCGATAGTTCCCTCTTCCATGATGTGTAGCATTCACGTTGTCATTAGCTAAGATGATGGAGGCATAGGATTAGCCCATGACCAAATTGACTATCCTGATGTGTCATACCCCTAGCCAGCCCTTTGAGCCGTGTGTTATCCTTTCTTTCGGTCTATAATGGAAAATCACCCCTTTGCATCTTTTAGAAGGTTCCACAGAGTGGTTTTTACATGTTCTCTGCTGTTTCTGATAAATATAATGTGAGGGTTGGAGGTAGTTCTTAAAAAAGTTGGGCATGTGTTTTAAAAATGTGCAGAGTGGTGGTTCTCTCAAGAAATGAAAAAAAAGAAGAAATAAATGGATGAAAGCTAAAGAGAGACACTACCAAAAATATGAATCATGCTCATTAAGTAGTGTTTCTTAGCAGTCTGGCTTGGAAATACTAACATTTATGTGACCTCCTTCTCTCTTGTGCTCTAGAGAATTTGAGTAATGCAGAATGGCAGAAAAAAAAAGTAAGTGGTTTGATTGACTATGATTGTGTTGGGTTGGGAATTGTGGAACCTTGTGCTATGAATACTTCCACCACCTATAAGGCCCTTTCCCCATGTCCAAGACCCTAGCCAATCATCTGAACCTGTGTCTAAGACCTCCGGATTAGTTAGTGATGACACCCATTTATGTGATCTCTAACATTTAGAGACTGTCGTCATGGTGAAGAGACGTTAGGGATTGAGAGAATAAGTATGTGCATTTTTCGCATCAAATTGTCCTGACCCCACTGGTAGAGAGTGAGCGATTCATTTCCTTGTTCTTTACACTCTTTACCCCGGTGAGGACCTAGATGGCTCGGTCTTGATTCTGATGTCTTGAGTTTTATGCATGAGCTGATTGTCTTGAATAAGTGGTTGAGTCAAGTCTAGGTTGGTTGGTGAACAGAAGGGAGACTCTTCCTTTCCCGATTTTGCTGAACTCGAATGTCCTCTGTGGTGGTCGTCCAGGTTGCTGTTGAAGTTGTTCATGTGTTAATGGTAGAGGGAGTTCTGTGTTCATTGCCTCAGCGTTCTTTCCTGGTGAAGACTAGTCGTCTACCGGGTAGTTTGATTGAGAGGGCTTGGTCATCTTAAGGGATTCCAAGCCACTGTCGGATCTTCCGCAGTATAATCAGCAGTAAAGCAACCAAAAGTAATTACAACTGTGACCTAACTAAGGAGCTAGGGGGACTCATTCCCGAGTGACTCTTCCTTTGCTTTAGAAAACCGAACCATTTCCTGCTTTCTTAATGCTTTTACTTAAATCAACAATCAATCAACTTAGTTTGCTAGATAACAGATATACACGGAGTAAGCAGTAGATCTAGACCCCGAGTTGACAATTAGAGCTTGCCTGTTACTGCATTTCCGGACTGCGATTACGCTTGGTCACTGTTTGGTGTTGTGTTTTTGCATGTCAGTGAGGTATACGAAAGACTATTCGGCTAGGGTGATGAGCTAGCAGAAATCATTGGTTTCCTCTTGCTGAACCGATTCCACGATCGAGAAAGAAGAAGAAGAGAAGTTGGTGTTTGGAACAACCAATTCTAGGGTTTGTATTTCTAAATAAAAATGTTGATTACCCTCTAAAAAACTTAGGGGTCGTTTGCTTGTTCAATTTGGGTCATGGATTTGGTACCCAAATCCCAAGCTTGATGGATTTAACATAAGTCCATTTTTTGTTGAAGGGTGCTAAATCCGTGGGGTCCATGGATTTGGTCTTTATTTTGGAAACAAATTCGTGGACCCCACGGACTTGTAAATCCCACATATTGATTTGGGATTTGCAAATCCTTGATGGTTAGTTATTTATTTAACAAATCCATCATCAAATCTATCATGCAAACATTAGACTCTTCAAATCCATAATCCAATAAATCCAACATAAATCCCAAGGTTTTTATTGGCCAAAACCTCATTTTTCAAATCCAACAAGCAAACGACCCCTTAGTTCCGCTCGTATATAGACTACATAAGTTTTGGGCCAAAAATAACAAAGAAACCCGAGTCTTGGTCCATAAGTCTTTTAATCCGCAAATCAAACGAAAACAACCTGCAGCAGCAGGTCAAAATCCACGGCCTGGCCCCTCAAAATCCACGATCATGGATTTGTGTCTTCAAGCAGTGGAAATACCTTGCAAAGAATCCACGGTCGCAAGTCCATTTCCAGGGTCGTTGATTTCAACCTCCAAACCGTTGATTTGGCCTGAGACAGCCTCAACTTGAATCGTCATCACTTCTCATCCGACGAACACCTCGACCTCCATATTGGTGAAGTTCTTAGCCAAATAAGCTTGAAGTGGACCCTTGAATGCTTTGGCTTGACTTCTAGTGACTGGACCACGCTCCTCTCGCGCCAAAGTTAGACTTGTGATTGCCTTGGTGTTGATGCCCTCATCATCACCCTCCACTTGAAAAGGATTTTCCCTCAAATCTGAGTCGTCTTCTAGGAAAGGAGCTAAGTCAGCAACATTGAATGTAGCACTCACACCACACTCGCCTGGAAGATCAATCTTGTAGGAGTTTTCATTGATACGGGCGAGGACTTGAAAGGGACCATCTCCACGAGGCAGCAACTTAGAACGTCGTTGTTGGGGAAAACGTTCCTTTCTCATGTGTACCCAGACCCAATCTCCTGGATCGAATCATTGAGGACGTTGATGCTTGCTCACGTTCTTCAGACCTTGCCCATCCGTATCTATGTTCATATGCGCCTTCTCGTGCAAACCTCGAATAAACTCTGCTTTCTTTGCACCATCTAAATTCACACGCTCATTGACAGGTAAAGGAGACAAATCCAATGGGGTTAAAGGATTAAACCCATACACAATCTCAAACGGTGAAAACTTAGTGGTAGAATGAATAGCCCTATTATATACAAACTCCATGAGGTAAGCATTCTTCTCAAGACTTTATATTACTCTTAATGACAGCCCTAAGCATTTGAGACAAGGTTCTATTAACTACTTCAGTTTGGCATCCGTCTGAGGGTGGCAAGTGGTAGAAAACAACAACTTAGTTCCAAGCTTACTCCATAGAGTTTTCCAAAAGTAACTCAAGAACTTGACATCATGATCAGAGACTATAGTGCAAGGCATACCATGCAACCTAACAATTTCTTGAAAGAATAGTTCAACTACATTAGATGCATCATCAGTTTTGTGACATGGGATAAAGTGTGCCATCTTTGAAAACCGGTTAACCACAACAAACACATAATCTCTACCATTTCTAGCCCTAGGCAATCCAAGAACGAAATCCATAGAAATATCAATCCAAGGAGTAGTAGGAATAGGGAGAGGAAGGTATAACCCGTTTGGCTGATCTTTTGACTTGGCTTGGCGGCACTTAAGACATATTGCACACACCTTCTCCGTGTCACTTCTCATGTGGTGCCAGTAAAAATGTTCTTGGAGGCAATCCAAAGTCTTGGATACCCCAAAATGAGCCATGAGGCCGCCACCATGAGCTTCTCTAACCAGCAACTCATGAATCTAAGCATGAGGCACACACAGTTGGTTACCACGAAACAAATAACCATCAGTTCGATAATATTTACCCTCACCATGCTTCTCACAAGACTCATAAATCTCACCAAAATTAGGGTCATTGACATACAACTCTTTGATATGCTTAAACCCAATGAATCGAGCATCAAGAGAAGAAATCAAAGCATACCTATGAGAAAGGGCATCGACAACCACATTCTCCTTACCTTGCTTGTATAAGATCAAATAGGGGAAGGATTCGATGAATTCCACCCAGCGCGCATGTCGTCTGTTCCGCTTATGTTGTGCCTTTAAGTACTTCAAGGATTCATGATCGGTGTGGATCACGAACTCCTTAGACCCGAGTTAGTGCTGCCACATTTCTAGGGCTCGAACAAGATCATAGAGTTCTTTTTTATACGTGGGATAGTTCAAGGCAGCGCCACTCCAGTTTTTGCTAAAGAGAGCTATTTGCCTCTTCTCCTGCATCAAAATAGCACCAATGCCTACACCAGAGGCATCACAGTTTATCTCGAATTTTTTAGAAAAGTCAGGCAACATCATCAAAGAAGATTGGCTTAGTTTATATTTCAAATGCTCTAAAGCTTTTTGTTGAGATTCACCCCATTGGAAGGTCATGTTCTTCTTGATTGCCACGCTTAAAGGAGCAGCAATGGAGCTGAAATCCTTTACAAACCGTCGATAAAACCCTACAAGACCATGAAAACTTCGAATCTCATTCATATTAGTTGGGGGTGGGTCGTGCTTTTATTGCCTCAATCTTTTCCTCATCCACCTCGATCCCTTTCAACCAACCACAAACCCCAGAAACACAAGTCTATTAGTGCAAAACATGCATTTCTTGAGATAACCATACAGTTGCTCTTTCGAAGAGTCTCCAACACAGCTCTAAGATGATTCACGTGGTCATCTAATTTCTTAGAATAAATCAAAATATCATCAAAGATAGACCACCGCGAATTTTCCAATAAAAGCTCTCAAAATATGGGACTTTTAACCACCAATACTTTATTGTACAACTCTCAAAATGAACGTCATATTCTCTTATGATACTTCAATTTGTTACCTTTAACGTTATTGTACAGCTTCAAATTGTACTTTAAACCACCAATACTTTATGATATAAGCCGAGACTCTAACTCGTGTTCTTAAACAATCAGAAACACATCAAAGATCGATTAAAGCACAACGATCACAAAGCGGAAAAAAACTAATACCAAATCCAGGAGTCGGGAAGAGGGTCGGGTATACGAAAGACTATTCGGCTAGGGTGATAGCAGAAATCATTGTTTTCCTCTTGCTGAACCGATTCCATGATCGAGAAAGAAGAAGAAGAGAAGTTGGTGTTTGGAACAACCAATTCTAGGGTTTGTATTTCTAAATAAAATTGTTGATTACCCTCTAAAAAACTTAGTTCGGCTCCTTATATAGACTACATTGGTTTTGGGCCGAAAATAACAAAGAAACTCGAGTCTTGGTCCATAAGTCACTTAATCCGCAAAGCAAACAAAAACAACCTACAACATCATGTCAAAATCCATGCCCTGGTCCCTCAAAATCCACGATTGTGGATTTGTGTCTTCAGGCAGTGGAATTCCCCAAGAAAGAATCACAGTTGCAAGTCCATTTCCACGGTCGTTGATTTCAACCTCCAAACCATTGATTTGGCCTGAGACAGCCTCAACTTGAAGCGTCATCATTTCTCGTCCGACGAACACCTTGACACGCTAAAACACAACACCTAATAATGGCCAAGTGTAATCAATGAAAGGGACTGCAGTATAGTGGCACAAGTAATAAATATCAAATCCATGGGTCTCTAGAGTTACTATTACTCACCTTCAGTTCATTATCTAGCAAACTAAATTAATGATTGATTTACTAAACTACTCTACTAATTACAAGTTGGGGACTCACTTAGGTATGATTCCCCTAACTCTTCAATTAGGTCCAAGTTGCAATTACCTTTGGTTGATATACTGTTGATTAAACTGCGAAAGATCCTAAATTAGCTTGGAATCTCTTAAGCTGACCAAGCCCTCTTAGACAGAATACCCGACAGGCGACTAGCCTTCACCGGGATAGACTGCTAAGGTGATTCACACAGATCTCCACTACTGGAATGAATTCCAGTACAAAGAAGTGAATTGATTGACTCTCGCACAACCAATTCACCACTATCAATCAAGGAAGCTCTCTTAACCTAATCAGATTCTATCTATCATAGGTTAAAGCAGAAATCAAGAGAAGATGATCAGGCTTCAATTGACTCTATAAATCATGCCTCTATCAATTATATCAAACAATATAGCATCCAAAACTTCATACAAGAACGATCCTAACACATGGAACTAGGGTTCCTCAAAACGTAAGTGAAGGGAAGTTACTCCATAGAGAAGAGAGAGACTGCAGAAATCTGATTTAGATCTTTAATCTCCATCTCCAAGCTTGATTCCCGAGCTCCAATGGCGAAGAAATCCTCCAAAATAGCTCCAAGAATGTTCCCAAGTCGCTCTCTCTCTCTCTCTCTAGGGTTCGTCCCTTGGGTGTTTGGGAATCAAAACCCAGCTCTCCCTCTCTAAAATCACAGAAAACAGACTTATACCCGAGCAGGGACAAAAACACGGCCGTGTTTAGTCCTGCCCGTGTTTTGGTCCCACCCGTGTTTTGGTCCCGCCCGTGTTTTAAATCCCTTCAGCAGTATTCACAAGAGAGGCTCGGCATAAAAAACACTAGCAGGTTCCAGATGAAACACGGCCGTGTTTTGAGGGTACCCTGCCCGTGTTTTTATTGCCGAACATGTTCCCCTATATTCAATGCTTCGTTTCTCCCTCGTCCGAACTCCGAATCAGTCGCCGTTTGATCACATACACTCGTAGTCTCGTCCTCTTTCTTTTAAGGACAAGCTTGAATGATTATTTGTCCATAAATGAGGTATAAATCCATTATTCTTCAGGTAATGCCCGAGTTTCTTCTCCCGAATCGCCAATTGATATCCGATTGACTTGAAACTTGCGCCTAGCCTTTCCTTCGGCGCTTGGTACGTGAAATGTGACAAAGGAACACAACCTAGCGTAAAATAGGCCAAAGAAGCGATAATGCAAGCTTAAACAATCAAGAAACAAAGGGGGAAGCATGTGCAAATATCGAGTCATCAAATCCCCCCACACTTAATCGTTTGCTTGACCCCAAGAAAACCAAGTCAGATACAAGGTAAGCTCAAAAAAAAATTAACCATGCAACCCTTGGGGACATATCATATAGGCACGAAACATGGGAATCATAATGGCTTTTAGACATCAACACATGGACAACTTCAACAGCAACCTGGACAACCACCACAGAGGACATTTGAGTGCAACAAAGTCGGGTAAAGGAGGAGTCTCCCTTCTGTTCACCAACCAACATAGCCTCGAATCAACCACTTATCCAAGATAATCACTTAATGCATAAAACTCAAGACATCAGAATCAAGACCGAGCCATCTAGGTCCTCACCGGGGTAAAGAGTGTATAGAACAAGGAAATGAATCGCTCACTCTCGACCAGTGGGGTCAGGACAATTAGACGCGACAAATTTGCATGGTTATTATCTCAATCTCTAACGTCTCTTCGCCATGACAGTAGCCTCTAAATGTTAGAGTTCACATAAGGGATGCACCACTAACTAATCCGGAGGTCTTAAACACAGGTTCAGATGACTGGCTAGGGTCTTGGACATGGGGAAAAGGCCTTATAGGTGGTGGAAGTATTCATAGCACAAAGTTCCACAATTCCAAACCCAACACATTCACAGACAATCAAACCACTTACTTTCTTTCTGCCACTCTGCAATACTCAAATTCTTTAGAGCACAAGAGCGAATGAGGTCACAATAATGTTAGTATTTCTAAGCCAGAATGCTAAGAAACACTACTTAATGAGCATGATTCAGATTTTTGGTAGTGGCTCTCTTTTGCTTTCATTCATTTTTCATTATTTTTTTTTTCATTTCTTGAGAGAACCACCACCTCTGCACATTTTTCAAACACCTGCCCAACTTTTAAGAACTACCTCCAACCCTCACATTATTTATAGCAGGAACAACAGAGAACAAGCAAAAACCACTCTGTGGAACCTTCTAAGAGATGCAAACGGGTGATTTTTCATTGTTGACCGAAAGAAAGAAAGTGACACGGCTCAAAGGGGCTGACTAGGGGGGTATGACACACCAGGACAGTCAATTTGGTAATGGGCTATTCCTATGCCTCCATCTTAGCTAATGACAACGTGAATGCTACACATCATGAAAGTGGGATCTATCGCACAAGAAAGAAACGAGTTGGCTCAAATCTCACATGGCT